TTTTTTTTTTTTTTTTTTTTTTTTTTTTTTGGAGAGTTTTTTGCTATAGGCACATGTACTTGCCAGAAACGCAGAGACAGTGAGACGTCACCCCCCAGGGAGTATGGCCATGCCGCAATCCCTTCTCTTCCATTCTCTCGGGATCTTGGGCATGCATGCACATGGCGCCGGGTGTGAGTTTAAGCCACCGGGTCCAGGACTCGAACCGTAGTTGACTACATGGAAGTCCAGCAACATAGCCATTATGCCAACTGCTAGTCCCAGACAGTGGTGTTTTTAAGACAGGACAGATAACTATTTTCTGTGTCTTTTTCAGGATGAAGAGAACAATCCCCTTGAGACAGAATATGGCCTTTCTGTCTATAAGGACCACCAGATAATCACCATTCAGGAGATGCCAGAGAAAGCCCCAGCTGGCCAGCTTCCCCGCTCTGTGGATGTTATTCTGGATGATGATCTCGTAGATAAAGTGAAGCCTGGTGATCGAGTCCAGGTGGTGGGGACTTATCGTTGCCTTCCTGGAAAAAAGGGAGGCTACACCTCAGGGAATTTCAGGTAAAGGGTCTGCTATGAGGTTATTTAGAATATTGTTGGTAGCTTCCATTTCTGGTAGTACTCTTTTTCTAGTTCGCTATAGTCAGAGAGTTATTTCTGATAGGTGGAGCATTCTACCTGGCTGAGAGATGAGGTGCTCTGATAGCTCTTTTTTATCAGATAAAGCTGGATATACTTTTCATCTAATGCCAAAAGTGGAAATTATTCGTGACACAGTTTCAACCCCATAGCTTACCTGGGAGTTTTTCAAGTCATTCCCAATCTTTCTCATATATACTACTCTCTGAAGTGCTGTGGGTCAGTAGGAAATCAGTACTTTCCAGAGGTGGGGCGTGATCAGTGTATGTAGGTTATGGACAGAGAGAATCAGTTGTTCAACTCCCCTCCCATTTGGCTGGTCTAGTTTAATAGTCTAAAAAGGCTTACTGCTGTGTAGATACTAGCTGCTGATGTTAGGGATTGACTAGAGCAGGCTTCCTCTTACTCTCCTCTCCTCTTTGTCCCAGGACTGTTCTGATTGCCTGCAATGTGAAGCAAATGAGCAAGGATGTTCAGCCTTCATTCTCTGCTGAGGATATAGCCAAAATCAAGAAGTTCAGTAAAACCCGTTCCAAGGTCTGGGCATCCTTTAACAGGTTTGAGGGTGGGAATGGCTTTGTAAAAGTTGTGTTTGCATACAGTGGCTGTCTCTGTACTGGATCAGGAGAAAGGTCAAGGATTTTTTTTCTCTGAAGTACTTGGTGCTAGCTTCTTCTAGTTTTGTCTCAGTCTGCAAGGAAAAGGTCTTTTTGCATTTCTTCTTTACTATTTCTGTTGCTCTACCTGCTGGGCTGTTAAGTGAACCTAGTAAATATTACGATAGGAGTTAGAATGTCAGTATACCCATTGTCTATTTAGTACTGAAAATATTAGTGATGCATTACTACATAAATTTAAAATCCGTGATTTTTGTTTTAGTTCTTCGTCTCGTTTTCTCCTATCTTTTTAAAGATAGGATGTCCACATTTAGATTGGACAAAAATGTAGGAATGTATGGTAAAGGTTACTGCTAAAGGACAATACATGTTCTTACTAAATCTAAAATATAGCAAACCTAGAAACTTTTTTTCTTCCTCAAAGATTAAACCACTAAATGTTTTGGAATCTAGGCTGCCTCTTTGATAATGATCTGATAGTGTGATTTGCATTAGAGCAGAAGCTTTTGCAATTGGGAACAACATTTATAGCATTTGTATATTTCTTCAAACATTTTTTTTTATTTATTTTTTTGGAGAGTTTTTTTGCTTTGGGGTGGTCTCCAGAGAAAGAGAAGGTGAGAAATCACCTGCCAGGGGGATGGCCACTCCACAATTCCTTCTCCATTCTCCTCTCAGGATTTTGGGCATGCGTATGTGTCCAACATGAGTTTCACGCTGCTGAATCTGGAACTCAAGCTGTGGTCGGCCACGTAGGAGTCCAGTACTGCAACCACTATGCCACCTGCTGGCCTCTCTTTAGGCATTTTTTTAATAGGCTAAAGTATAAAGTAGAACTCTGCAAAAACTCTATTTAGACTTTCACTAGGTTTTTCACTCTGATCTAGGCTATTAAACTAGACTCCATTATTTCTCTTCCAGGATATTTTTGACCAGCTGGCAAGGTCATTGGCCCCTAGTATCCATGGGCATGACTATGTCAAGAAGGCAATCCTCTGCTTGCTCTTGGGAGGGGTGGAACGAGACCTAGAAAATGGCAGCCACATCCGTGGGGACATCAACATTCTTCTAATAGGTATGATGTTGGGCTTTGTTTTAGACTCTTATTTTGTGGAGTGTAGTTTTCAGGACCTAGAACATGTAAAGTTGTGTATTTTGTACCTGGTAGTATTTTACAGTCTCATCAAAGGGCAAAAAGCTAAAATGAGGTTTTTTAAAAATTATTTTTGGGATTCATAGTTTATAATATCTGAAGTGTATTCTTCCATGAATGGTAAAGGCAAAAGTGAAAGAAATAATTCTAATAACCAGTTACTGTATGGTTTTGCCGTACTAAGAGCTGCACTAAGAAAGTAGAACTTCCTTGGCAGGGAAGGGGTGAAGAATTTCCTTGAGATTCATGGTTGCCCGCTTCCTACAGGAGACCCATCAGTAGCCAAGTCTCAGCTTCTGCGGTATGTACTTTGCACAGCACCCCGGGCTATTCCAACCACTGGCCGGGGCTCCTCTGGAGTGGGTTTGACAGCTGCTGTCACTACAGACCAGGAGACAGGTAAGGGTGTGTAAGGGTCCTTAGCAAAGGCCCAACAGTGAGATCGAGCATAGATTCTTTAAGCTTGCTCTCAGTAGGACTTACATTGAGAAGATAGTAGTCGAGTGGTTAATTGGGGTCAGATTGTTGATGAGTATGTATTTAGCAATAGTAGGTGAGTTATTTAAGTCTTCAGGAGGCCTTCTAGTAATAAGAATATTTCCTGGAAGGTGATCAGAAAAGGTTTTAAAGAAGAAGACTTAGCAAATTGGAAGGGAAATAAAAATGAAGATTGTACTGTTTTATAAATTAGAGAATGTGACAGTGATCTAGTTGGGATATTACCTGGGGATGAGGATGAAGAGAAAATCTATAAAGAAGAAGCTATCTGGTTAGGGGTCAAAGTGGGACAAAGATGAGGTTTAGGTTGGAGCGAAAAAGGTGACCCACCAGGGTCTCCTCTGAGTCTCAGAGTGGACACCTCCGTACCATGACTCAGGGAGCGGTGCCTAGGAAGGAGATGTAAATCCCCCCCCCTGTCCAATAGCATAGACTGTGTAACACATATTTTTACCTCCTTGCTTTTTAGGGGAGCGCCGTCTAGAAGCAGGGGCCATGGTCCTGGCTGACAGAGGTGTGGTTTGTATCGATGAATTTGACAAGATGTCTGACATGGACCGCACGGCCATCCATGAAGTGATGGAGCAGGGTCGAGTGACCATTGCCAAGGCTGGCATCCATGCTCGGCTGAATGCCCGCTGCAGTGTTTTGGCAGCTGCCAATCCGGTTTATGGCAGGGTGAGTAGATCAGGCCCTCAGCTGCTGTCCTCACTTGATTAAATTTTGCTGAGTAACTAGGCTCAGAAGTTTATTCTAGGTGACTGACCCAGGGGAATAACAGACCAAAGACTAAAGTAAGTTCATCTGTTATTGTCCCTGGTTTAGAGCAGTAGTTCCTCTTACATTCCCACATGGCAGAATCGCCTGGAAAGTTAATTTACTTGCAAATATTTGGCTTTTTGAAATTTGAAAAAGAAAACAAAAATGATCTGCAGTTTCACAACTCAGGTAACCCCTATTATTAAAATAAAAGTATTACATACAGGCAGCAGCATTTTCAAAAAGAATAGGAAGATAGAGGAGAATTAGAAGTCTTCTGTCTCTTTCCAAAGAGAACCACTGACAATAGTTTAAGCATGTACCAGCAAATATACTATCTTCTTGTTAAGAATTATCTCTTTATTTTTGTGTATACTGTGACTGCAATAAGGTCTTTTATTTTTATTCTGCTTAGGATTTGCCAAGTTTGGCCTTTTTTCTCCTAAAGAATGCACCCTCTCCCCCTAGAAGGGATGGCTACACGGCAGTCCCTTCTCCTTCACTCTCCTCTTAGGATCTTGGGTATGCACATACACATGCTTGGTGTGAATTTTAAGCTGCCAGGTCCAAGACTCAAACCGAGGTCAGCCATATGGGAGTCCAATACCTTAACCACCATGCCACCTGCTGGCCCAAGTTTAGCCTTTTTAAAAACAGCATTTTAGTTTTCTGTTATATGGTTTGATATTTATTTAGCTAGTCTTTAATTTTTTTTTTAAGAGGTTTTTGCTATAGGGCACGTGCACTAGCCAGATAGAGACAGAGAGATAGGAAGCGAGAAATCACCCCCCAGAGGGGATGGTCACGCTGCAGTCCCTTCTCCATTCTCCTCTCGGGATCTTGGGCACGCACGCACACACGCCCAGCGTGAGTTTTAAGCCACCAGTTCCGGGACGCGAACCGTGGTTGACTCTGTGGGAGTCCAGCGACATAGCCGTTATGCTAATTGCTGGTCCCTAGCTAGTCTCTATTTGATGGGCATTGTTGGTTTCCCTTTCTCCTGGCTATGCTATTAAGAACAAAGTTGCAACAAACATCATTTTATGTGTATTTTGTTATATATTTGGGAATACATCTATGGTATAAATACCCAAGAATAGAATTATTACTAGATTAAAAGTTACATGCACTTTATTTTAGATAAAGATTATAAATTGTCCTCTTTAAAGATTGAATTATAATAATTTTTTTTGGAGGTTTTTGCCTTAGGACATGTGTGCTCTCTGGAGAGAGAGAGACACACACAGAGACAGTGAGAGGGAAAGTGAGAAGTCACCCCCCAGAGGAGATGGCCAAGTCGTAATCCCTTCTCTATTCTCCTCCTGGGATTTTGGGCATGCATACACATATATCAGTGGGAGTTTCAAGCTATCGGGTCTGGGACTTGAACCGTGGTTGCCCTGTGGCAGTCCAGTGACATAACTGCTACGCCATTTGCTGGTCCTTTAATAATGCTCCTTTAACCAATACTTGTAAATGCTTCATATTTATCCACTCCTTTCATAATCTTATTAACTAACTCACAAAGAGGTTGGTAGTTACCCTCGTCTTTTTTATGAGAAGGTGGAGGCGCAGATGTTTATGTAATTGGCATAGATGGTCACGTAAGGGCCACAAACTAGAAAATGGCAGAGCCAGGGATTGAAACAAGAGCTCACACTGTGTTCTGATGGTTTATAATGTCACAGTGTGTGGGGACACGTATTTTGGAGGTGTTTTTAAATATACCTTAGCTTAGTCCCTAGCCCAGGGTTTCTGAATGCAGATTTCTTGAGCTATGGTTTAGAAATGTTCCACAGGTTGTTTCTAGTGTGTAGCTTGGTTAAGAACCACAGGTTTTTAAATTAATGGTAACATGTTTATTATCATTTTGAAAAACGGTTGAGAATGTAAGAAAGCGACAGGGCCTGGAGTGTAAACATGGTCACAGTCACTACATTTCCCACACAGTTGTTATGTTCTCTTAACTTCACGGTGTATGTGAGTAGGTAGGCATTAGTCTAATAGGCTACAAATTGAAAGGTAAGAAAGACTATTGGGATTCTTAAATCCTAAAGCTATACTCCCTTTAATTCCAAAGGCATTACGATTTACAGATCCTTACCCATTTTGGTTTGGATTTGACTCATAATGTTCTGAGAAAGGAGCTGCAAAGTTTCAAGTGCTTCTAGCTTAACAGCCTGCCCTGTCTATGACAGGTAGGGGAAAGAAAATCGTCTTTCAGAATTAATCCTGCCTTGGGAGTGAGAAGAGTAAAGTCAGGCTTGGGAAGGAGGGGGCTGGCTTTGTGGCCTATACTCAGCCTGTTAGAGCTCCTTTGCTAGGAGGTGAGGTTCCTGAGTTAGTTCAGGTCTCCCAGCTTCAGATAGAGCAGAGTTGCAGGTAGAGGAGATGTTTCATGTATTTTAATAGCTTTAGAACACATTTTTTTTTTTTAACTTCTTGTCTCTTTTTAAGATCTAGCCTTCCATTCCCACTCCCAGAATTGATCTGGCTTTATTGTCCTTTCTGCTTATTGATATTGCCTCCACTTTCTTTTTTCTTGTGTTCCCCAGTATGATCAGTACAAGACTCCAATGGAGAACATTGGGCTACAGGACTCACTGTTGTCCCGGTTTGACTTGCTCTTCATCATGCTAGATCAGATGGATCCTGAGCAGGATCGGGAGATCTCAGACCATGTCCTCAGGATGCATCGTTACCGAGCCCCAGGGGAGCAGGATGGTGATGGTGAGGCCATGAGAACAGTGAGGGTGACCAGTGGAAGGGGTCTGGGACAGATGCCACTGTCAGGCCCAACCTGGGCGGGGTTTCAGTATCTGGGCTGATGCTGAAGATGCCCTCATCTATCTAGCCACCTCTCTTCTTGCTCCCGGGAGGTTATCCTGAAGTGTGTCTTGTTATTTCTGGGTCCAGGCACCTTTGAGCATCTTCCTTCTGCTAGACAGTTCTACCCTTACGCTTGGTGGGTTTCTTCTGGATCCTTGTTTTGTCTCTTCCTGTCTAGTACTCCAGGTGAAACAATTACCCCTGGGATAAATTTCTTACTCTCCTTTTTCCCAACTTGCCTTATTTTATCAGCTATGCCCTTGGGTAGTGCTGTGGATATCCTAGCCACAGATGACCCCAACTTGAGCCAGGAAGACCCACAGGACACCCAGATTTATGAGAAGCATGACAACCTGCTGCATGGGACCAAGAAGAAGAAGTAAGTGTTTCTCATGCCTCTCCCTGGAGAGAATCTGAGACTTGTGTCATATTAGAATTTGTGCATATCTGAACTTAGGGTATTATGTGCTCAGACCAAAGTCATGCTCGGAGTCATGACCATGGGTACTTGATTTCTCTGTCTAGAAGTTCAACCGTTATCCCGAATAGTTGCCTTATAAATGTGGGTGCTTCACCTGAGATTCAGATCTTTTTTAAAAAGTTGGTTTTGATGACGTGCCTGACTGATGGTGGATGGGCAGGGTCTCTTTTCCCTGGATGGTTGCACATATCATGTAGCCATTCATGGTGAAGGGTCAGTAGATAGCATGTATTGGAGTCTTTTCAAGTAGATTTGGGTAAAGGAGACTTGTGATCAAGTGCTCAAAGCATGAATGTGAGATCTACCTTTATTTTAAGCTATGAGGCAGTGAGAAGCAGCATAATCTTCAAAGCTGTTGGTTTAAGAACACAGAATTTGGCATCAGAAGGCTGAATTTGAGTTCAGTTTAGCCTCTCTGAGCCATAGTTGGGAATTCCCAACTATAAGATAGAGCAAATAATACTTAAAACTTCCTACCTGAAACTACCCAACTCACAAATAATACCTGAAATAATTTAAATAAAAATATGTGAAAGAGCCTTGAATATGTCTTATTTAAACGAGCGTGAGGATAAGGGTTCTAGGCCTTATCTCAGTTCTGCCATATGACCCTGACTTGTCTGAGGAGAGGCGGGAAGATAGTAAGCAGTGGCAGGAAACTGGTGTTCACTGTGTGGATCCAGGGAGAAGATGGTGAGTGCAGCATTCATGAAGAAGTACATCCACGTGGCCAAAATCATCAAGCCTGTCCTGACACAGGAGTCAGCTGCCTACATTGCAGAAGAGTATTCACGCCTGCGCAGCCAGGATAGCATGAGCTCGGACACTGCCAGGGTGAGTGTCTAAGGGGACCGTAGCCTCGGGAGTCTCTTAGGTATACTGCTGAAGCAGTTCCTGCTATCTGAGGGCTTTTCAAGCGTTTTAACCTAGTGATTATTTCCTCCCTGGTCTGAAGGGCTTCTGTTACACAGTTTTAATCATTTCCTTTTACCAGAGAAAATGAAAGGAGGTCCCCATAGATGATGTGTATCTCTTTAGTTCAAGTGGTATTGTCCTCTAGGAGCTGTGATTCACCCAGTAGACATGAGTGTAACTGCTGGGAACTGACTTACACTGCTCTGGTGAGTGTAGTTAATAATAGCCATCCTCAAAGAGCTCAGAACTGAAAGGGAGAGGCAGAAAGGGAGATAGAAAGGTCATGCATACATACTTATAAGTACAAACCTTGTGTGGTACTTGCAAAGGAATGAATGTGAAAGGCCATTTGAGTACAGGTGAAGAAATTATTTATTTTCCTTCAGATTTCCCTGAAAGAGTATATTGGGGAAGGATCCCTAGAGAGTGTGACATTTGGGCTGGACTTTGACAAATAATTGCCCTTGAATTCATCTTAAATCTTTTGGGGGCAGTATTGTCATACAGAATTTCATAACAGAAAGACCCAAGTCCAGAACCCTCATTTTGTGACAGACTTGGATTTAGATGTAATCTCATCTACTGCAGCCTCCCACCTGTTCTGTCTTCTGAAATATCTGCTAGAACTTACTTAACACCCCTTGGGAAAGCATACTCACAACATTAATGCATTGAAATCTTACAATATTCTATTTATTAAGCTTAAACCTGCTTCCCTATGACTTCTACCCATGGGTGTTAATTTTGTGTTCTGGGGATTATGTATCAGTTGCCTTCTTCGTACTAAATAGCTCCCTTTCTTTTTAACTGTTTCTCCCCACACTTGTTCCAGTGTATCAAAAGCCTTTCACTGAATCTAGAACTAAACATAATACACCTTTATAGTTGTGGTCTTACTGGGTTGATAAAACCCTCAATTTGGATTTTCTAGTTCTGCTAACGCAGGTTAGGATTTCACCAACTTTTTAGGTCATTCAAGAATTGGAGCTTATAGTGGAGCATTACATTTTTAAACTCTGATAGCTTTTTAAATCATTAAGAGAGCTAGTGAATGTATATATGTATGCAATTTGCTAGAGGGTGTGTGTGCTTACTGGGGAAATATAAAGAGGGCAAAAAAAGTATCCCACATGGGGGATGGTCATGTCACCATTCATTTCTCCTCTTTTGAAACTTTGGGCATGCATGCACCTGTTTCTAGTGTGTGTCTCAAGCCTCTCGGTCTGGGACTCAAACTGCGTGTTGGCCATGTGAGATCTAGCTGCCCTAACCACCGGACCATGGTATGACCCTGGTGAATGTGTTTAAATATGTATCGTATATATACATAATTTTTTTTAAAGAGTTTTTTTGTATAGGGCATGTGCACTTGCCAGGGATACAGAGACAGACAGAAAGCAAGAAATTACCCTCCATGGGGGGATGGCCATGCTATAATCCCTTCTCCATTCCCCTCTTGGGATTTTGGGGACATAGTTGACTACATGGGAGTCCAGCGATGCAATCTGCTGGTCCCCAATATATTTGTTTTAATGTCATAACTATTATTACTATTATTATTATTTTGGGGTTGGAAAAGTCATGGTGCATTTTTGCATAGAAAAAGATAGAAAAATATGGCATGACTTTTCTGACAATCCAATATTATTGTTATTTTTGGCCAGAGAGTATGTGTGTGCTTGTCAGACAGATGGGGGCCGGGGAATAGAGAAATCGCCTCCTAGTGGGGCATAGTCACGCTGTAATCCTTCTCCTTTCTCCATCCTGTTGGGATTTTGGTCATGTGTGCACTCATATCCAACTTGTTTTTCAAGCTACTGGGGCTGGGATTTGAACCTCTTAGTCAGCCATGTGGGATCTGGCTCCCTTAAAAACTAGGCTACAGGGCCTGCCCTTATTATTTTTAATCTCTTACTATGCTTAGTTTATAAGTTAAACTTTATCATGGGTGAATATGTATAAGAGAAAGCAGTATATGTAAGGTTTGGTATTATCTGTGGTTGCAGGCTTCCACTGTGGATGTTGAGCATATCTCCTAGGGCCGAGAGGGTACTACGGTATCACTGAAGGGCCATGTGATAGGAGATGTGTGATAGAAAACTAGCCCTATGTTTGACCTCAGCTCTGCTGCTAGCTTTCAGACTTTGCATATACCCTTTCACTACCTAGGTCAGTTTCCTTATCCATAAAATGAGAAGGCAAGGTAAAATCTGAGCATATCAGAATAACCCAAAGCTTAAAAATACACATGCCTGCTACTAAATACAGAGATTCTGATTTATTGGGCTAGAGATGCCATTTAGACCGTAGCATTTTTTAAAAGATAGAAGCCTTCCAGTACTTTTATACCTACCTTGTAACCTGTTGTTTGGAACTTGTTCAAGTTCTCTTCCTCCTCCAGACATAAGTGAATTTACCAAATTTTTAAACATTTGTCCTTAGATTACCTTTTTCATACCTTCCCCTGGTATAACCTTATACAATTACTTAAAGCTCCTTAAGTCTCATTCCCTCATCTATAAAACCTCTCCAAGTTACTAAGAGGGTTAAACTACAAAATGAATATAAAAGCAAACTTCCTAGTACACACTAGGCCTATAGTAAATAATGATGTTCTCTCTTCTGTCCTCTTCAGCTGTTAAAAGTCTAATTTTCTTTGTGTTCACCTGCTCATCCCTCAGTACTCTCACATGTATTTTCCAGGTCATTTTTGTTAACTTTTTTCTTTTTTTGGAGAGATTTTCACTGTAGGGCGCGTGCGCTCGCCAGACAGACAGAGAGAGACATAGAGACAGAAAGCGAGAAATCACCCCCCAGGGGGGATGGTCACGCCGCAATCCCTTCTCCTCCATTCTCCTCTCGGGATCTTGGGCACGCACGCACACGCGCCCGGCGTGAGTTTTAAGCCACCGGGTCCGGGACACGAACTGCGGTCGACTACGTGGGAGTCCGGTGACATAGCCATTACACTAACTGCTGGTTCCCTTTTTGTTAACTTTTTTAATTGTATAGGTAAATATAGAGAGAATTTGGGGCTCTGAATCCTTTGCTTAGGCTTCCTGGAGCTTCCCTGGTAGTGTATTTATTTTCCTTTCTATGGAGTAGGAATGAAGGACATGCTTAAAAGACTCTGGATAACTAACCCTCTCTTGTTCTCTTCCCCAGACATCTCCAGTTACAGCCCGAACCTTGGAAACTCTGATTCGACTGGCCACAGCTCACGCGAAGGCTCGCATGAGCAAGACTGTGGACCTGCAGGATGCGGAGGAAGCTGTGGAGTTGGTCCAGTATGCTTATTTCAAGAAGGTGAGAGTACGCTTATTTCAAGTAGGTGAGAGTTCAAAATGTCTGGGTGAGAGAGGCTCTTCTGAGTAAGTTGCAGGTGTGCTGGTCCTCTGTGGCTCACACTTGCATCTGGATTGTCTATGGAAAGTAATATTCATCTTATCGCATTCAATCTGTCTTGGCTTAATCTGTCTTTGCTTCTTCTGGAACACACAGTGGTTCTCAGACCTGGCTGTACCTGAGAATCAGATGGGAAGCCTTAAAACATTGATGCTAGGACTCCTAGAGATTCTGGTTTAATCCATGTGCTAAACTGTCCATTGTTTTTTCCCTACCCATACTGCCTCTGTGTCTTGAAAGAGTAAGTGCTTCCAAAGGAGTTACCTTGACAACCTTCTTCTTCCTTCTGTACTTTTCACTTTGGCAGTTTCTGTAGGTGTCTCACTGACATCTCAAAATCTTATATAAAAAGTTGAGCTCTCTTGGAACCAGCAAATGGTATAATGGTTACATTGCTGGATTCCCACATAGACGACCATGGTTTGAGTTCCAGACCCAGCAGCTTAAAACCTGTGCTGGGTGCATGTGTGTGCGTGCCCAAATTCCTGAGAGGAGAATGGAGAAGGGATTGCTGCATGGCCATCATCCTGGGAAGTGATTTCTCACTTTCTATTCCTCTGTCTCTCCTGTCTCTCTGGTGAACGTACCCACCCTTTAGCAAAATCTCAAAAATAAAAAGTCAAACTCTCAAACTTGCCTCTCATCCTATTTCCCTGTTTGTATTAGTGACACATCACTGTCATTTTACGTACTAAACCTTGAAGCTTGACTTTCTTTTCCCTGTTTACTATCCCCTCCCAAAACTCGTGAGATTTAATTGTGAGTCTGATAAGCTTCTTTTTTTTTTTTTTTTTTTTTTTTGGGGGGTTTTTGTTTTGGGGCCACACCCTCTAGAAAGACAGAAGAGAGAAAGCGAGACATCACCCCCCAGGGAGGTGGCCACAGCGCAATTCCTTCTCCTCCATTCTCCTCTCGGGATCTTGGGCACGCACGCACACACGCCTGGTGTGAGTTTAAGCCACCGGGCCTGGGACGCGAACTGCAGTTGACTACAGGGGAGTCCAGTGACATAGCCATTACGCTAACTGCTGGTCCCGAGTCTCATAAGTTTTTTCTGGTCTTTTCTCTTTGCTAGGTTGGGGAGTGTGTTAAATTTATAAAGACATGAATTATTTTTTTAAGAAGTTTTTGCCTTAGAGCATGTGTGCTTGCCGGATAGACAGAGACTGAAAGCGAAAGTGAGAAATCACCCCCCCAGAGGGGACAGCCATGCTACAGTCCCTTCTCCTTCATTCTTCTCCTGGGATCTTGGGCATGCACATGTTCCTAGCATGAGTTTTAAGATACCGGGTCTAGGACTTGAACTATAGTCGACCATGTGGGAGTCCAGTGACATAACTGCTACACCATCTGCTGGCCCCACCCCCCCATTTGTTCTTTTTTTTTTTTTTGAGAGGTTTTCGCTATATGGTGAGTGCGCTCGACAGAGAAATAGAAAGTGAGAAATCACCCCCCTGGGGAGAATGTCACGGCGTAATCCCCTCTCCTCCATTCTCCTTGGATCTTGGGCATGCATGCACACGTGCCTGGCGTGAGTTCAAGCCACCAGGTCCAGGATTCAAACCACGGTTGACTATCTGGGAGTCCAGCGACATAGCCATTATGCTAATTGCTGGTCCCAACCCCCCTATTTGTTCTTTTTTTTTTTTTTAGAGATTTTCACTATAGGGTGCGTGCGCTCGCCAGACAGATAGAGACATTAGAGACAGAAAGCGAGAAGCGAGAAATCACCCCCCAGGGGGGATGGTCACACCGCAATCCTTTCTCCTCCATTCTCCTCTCAGGATCTTGGGCACGCACGCACACGCGCCTGGCGTGAGTTTTAAGCCACTAGGTCCGGGACACGACTACGTGGGATTCCAGCGACATAGCCATTACGCTAACTGCTGGTTCCCACCCCCTATTTGTTCTTTATTCAGTAAACATTATTGAGCATACCTCCTAGCTTTTTATTTTATTTTAGTTTTTAGCCATAGGGCATGTGCACTTTCCAGAGAGACAGAAAGTAAGATGGTGAAAGAGAAAGCAAGAAATCACCCTCCAGAGGGGATGGCTATGCTGCAGTCTTTTCTCCTTTCTCTTCTTAGAATTTTGACTACATATGCACATAGGCCCAGCATGATTTTTCAAGCCACTGTGTCCATAATTCTGAACAAGGTGAGCCATATAGGAGTCTAGTGCTTGTAACCCACTATGCTACCTGTTGGCCCCTTACTCCTGACATTTTAAAAAAAAATTATTTAGTTTTATTTCTCTCTTTCTTTTTTTAATTTGCTATAGGACACATGTGCTCATCAGACAGATGAGCAAGAGGGAGAGCGAGAAAGCGAGAAAGCAAGCCACTCACTGGATCCAGAACTTGAACCATGGTCAGCCATGTGGGATTCTAGCACCTTAACCACCTCACCACCTGCTGGCTCCCACTCCAGCCTTTTTTTGTTTTTTTAAAGAGAATTTTTGCTATAGGATACATGTACTCATCAGAAAGATAGAGACAGAGAGACAGAAAGCAAGAAATCATCTCTCCAGGGGGGATGACCACACTGCAATCCCTTCTCAGGATTTTGGGCATGCACACACATGTGTCCAGCCTGAGTTTTAAGCCTCCAGGTCTGGGACTTGAACTGTGGTCAGCTATGTGGGAGTCCAGTGATGTGACCATTACACTATCTGCTGGTCCCCACAGCATTTTTAAAAGCTGAGTAACAGTCTCTCCACCTGCCCTGGGTCCTAGAACATGACATAGGAAAGGCTGGCTAGGTCATTAGAAACATGGACGTCTTTGCTGCTGATGGGGCCGAAGGGTTCAGTGCCCTGGCATGTAACCCCTCCAACCCACCACACTTGCCTTGGTCCTAGGTTCTGGAGAAGGAGAAGAAACGTAGGAAGAGAAGTGAGGATGAGTCAGAGTCAGAAGATGAAGAGGAGAAAAGCCAGGAGAGCCAGGAGGACCACGAGCAGAAGAGGAAGCGGTAAGGTGGAGCAGAGCAAAGTGAGATAAAAGGCCCTGGGACTCAGCTGGGACTGGGTCAGGTGCTGCTGTTGACATCAGGGAAGGGCTGCCTGGACCTGCAGGGTTTGTGGATGAGGACAACCTGAGCAAAGGGGAGGGAAGGAGCCCTGCTGCAGTGTTGAGGATAATACTTTTGACCTCTTTCTTACTATAGAGAAATGCTAGATAGGACAAGTTGTCTACTCGCTGAGATTTTTGAATATGTATTTCAAAATTTTTGAGAGTTCTTTTTTACCCTCCTGCCTCTAGTTGGATTTATAAGAGTGGGTGGTATGGAGAAAGCATCAGTTTGTTTTTGTTCTTTTTTTTGAGAGGTTTTTGCCATAGGGCGTGTGCGCTCTCCAGAGAGGCAGAAAGCGAGAAATCACTCCCCAGGGAGGATGGCCTTGCCGCAATCCCTTCTCCTCCATTCTCCTCTCTGGATCTTGGGCTTGCACACACACGCGCCCGGTGTGAGTTTAAGCCACCAGGTCCAGGACGCGAACCGTGGTCGACTACATGGGAGTCCAGCGACATAGCCATTATGCTAACTGCTGGTCCCAAGCTTGTTTTTGTTCTATTCTAGAAACTTGGTTTCTTTTGGATAAAGCAGTTTGTACAGACCTAACCCTAGTGTGCCATATTGATTGTAGATGGTTCTGTTTCCTTTACTCTGTGATGAGGGACAGGATGGAGCTCTGCATAGACTTTCTCTAAACACTTTGGATATTTTAGGAGGAAGACTCGCCCAGCGGATGCCAAGGATGGGGACTCATATGATCCCTACGACTTTAGTGACACAGAGGAAGAAATGCCTCAAGGTGAGTGAGCACCCCTTCCTGTTGATCAAAGAGGTTATTCCTTTGACTTGTGGACGTTTTAGTTGCTCTGTGCACTGTGTAAAGAGAACCTTGGGAAATCCACAATAAAAACTTAGGGAAAGGGACTAGCAGATGACATAATGGTTATGTCACTGGATTCCCACATAGTCAACCGAGTTGTGGACCTGGTGGCTTAAAACTCAGGCTGGGCGCATGTGCGTGTGTGCCCAAAATCCTAAGAAGAGAATGGAAGAAAAGGGAGTGTGGCATGGCCATCCCTCCTGGGGATGATTTCTCACTTTCTGTCTCTTTGTCACTGTCTCTTTGGTGAGCACGTGGGCCCTATAGCAAAGATCTCTCTAAAAAAAGAAAATCTTAGCAAAAAGCTTTACTTACTTCGTCTTTGCTAAACTGGGCTCTTTTGCCTCATCTGGTATTACCATCCCAGATAGTGGATGTTGAGCGTTTCCTGCCTGCCTCAATTTCTTTGCCACCCACTAGGGATTTCCCTTTATCCTAATCATTCTGCCTGGCCCTATAAGATCCCTGGGAAAAGAGATTTTTCTGGAGGCCCAATGAGGGGTGGGGAATGAATAAGGTACCTGGTGTTTGTGGAAATGGCTTCACCTTGCTGTCTTCTCCATCTCTGCAACCATCACTCCTCTGAAGTGCACACTCCAAAGACAGCAGACTCACAGGAGGCCAAGGAATCCCAGAAGGTGGAGCTGAGTGAATCCAGGTGAGTGGGAAGCTGCCGTCAGTTCAAGAACTCCATATACTGCTGGGGCAACGACTTGTTCCTGTGGACAGGGTGTGAAACAAACATTATGGATAGAGCTCAAAACTAGAGGCCTGACAGTGAGAACATTTTATATTCTGATTATAATTTTTTTTAAAAGTTTTCATTTTTATTTATTATTATTTTGAAAAATTTTGCTCTAGGTCACGTGCACCCATCAGAGAGAAAGAGGGGAAATTGTGAAAAAATGTGAGAGAGTGTGAGTGATAGCAGAAATGAGAGAGTAAGTGAGAAAGCAAGATGCCAGGTCTAAGACTTGAACTGTGGTTGGCCATGTGGGAGTCTAGCACCCTAATCATCATGCCACCTGTTGGCGCCACATTCTGATTATAAACTTCCTGAAAAGTTGCGAGAGAAGTATAGAGAACTCCTGTACATCCTTTATCCAGGATCCTTAGTTATTTATGTTTTGGCATTTGCTTTCTTAGTAATTTCTTCTGTGGTAAGTTGAATTATGTTCTTGTGGGATCATAAAGAAGAGTCTGGAACAAGGATGACATTTATGTCTTCTTATAAACTTGGGCTCATTTTTAGAGAGATTTTGCTATAGGACACATGTGCTTACTGGAGAGACAGAGACAGAAGCAAGAAATACCCACCCCCCGGGGCGGGGGGGACATGGTCATGCTACAGTCCCTTCTCCTCCATTCTCTTGGGATTTTTGGTATGCACGTATATGCACCTGGTGTGAGATTCAAGGCTCTGGGTCCAGGATTCAAACCATGGTCGGCCGTGTGGGAGGGGAGTTCAGCGATGTAACCATCACACTATCTACTAATCCCAACTTGGGTTTTTAGTAGAAAGATAAATCTTACTTAAGATGTGACAATTGTTTTGAAATGAAGGATTTTTATCACCACAGTTTTAGAAAACATTTTTATTGGTAAATTTTATGTTTACTGGACACCAAAGAAGCTCCATACCTAAAATTTATTTAAATATAGAACCTATAAATTTAATGAAGGAAATTTGAAAAATATTGAAAGGTATTTAGAAAAATAAAGTTAAAATCAATTGTGATTCCACCCCAAATCCATTGAATTCTTATCTTAAAGTACTTTCTGAATTGGCTCATATAGAGCTCACTCTTTGTAATGACTGCAGGGTTTGTGTGGTACGGGTGTGTAAAAATTTATTTAATAGGATCCCTAATGATGAACATTTGGATGGTTCCATACATCTGCTATTTACAGTAAAATATTCTTAAATCTGCCACTGTGCACTAATACGAGTGTAGCTGTAAAGGAAGTTCTAGACAAGAACTCCTTGAACCAAAGGATAGATATTTTTTTCCTTATGGTTTTTTAAAAAATATTTTTAATTGATAAATAATTGTACATATTGATGGGGTACAGTGTCATTTTTAATATGTTAACAAACATGTTATGTAATATGATTAGATAAGGGTAATTATAGTGTACCAGTCACCATAAACATTTATCAGGGGCCAGCAGATGGCATAATTGTTTAGTCTCTGGACTCCCACATGACCAACTGTGTTTCAAGTCCTCGACCCAGTGGCTGAAACTCATGCCAGGCCTATGTGTGTGCATGCCCAAAATCCTGAGAGGGGAGAAGGGATTGTGGTGTGGCCATTCCCCTTGGTGGGTAATTTTTCACTTTCTGTCTCTATCTCTGATGAGCACATACGCCTGCTAACAAAAATTTCTCAAAAAATTAGCAAAAACAAAATTATCATTACTTTGTGCTAGAAACATTCAGTATCTTCTCTTAGCTATTTTGAAATATGTCATTAATTATTGTTAGCTGTTGTCACCCTACTGTGCTATAGAACAGTAGAAGTTATTCTTCCCATCTCAACTGGTTTTGTGCCTCCTAACCAGCATTTCCCCATACTTGACACCCTACCCTTCCAAGTTCCTAGTAACCACTGTTCCACTGTTTTATTCTCTACTTCTATGAGGTCAACTTTTAGCTTCTATATGTGAGTGAGAACATGTGTGTCTCATTCTGTGTCTGAGTTATTTTGTTTGACATAATGTCCTCTAGGGACTAGCAGTTAGTGTAATGGCTATGTCGCTGGACTCCCATGTAGCCGACTGCAGTTCCAGTCCCGGTCCCGGTGGCTTAAACTCATGCCGGGTACGTGTGCGTACGTGCCCAAGATCTCGAGAGGAGAATGGAGGAGAAGGGATTGTGGCGTGGCCATCCTCCCTGGGGGGGGATTTCTCACTTTCTGTCTCTCTTTCTCTCTCTGTCTGTCTGGCAAGTGCATACGTCCTATAGCAAAAACCTTTCTTTAAAAAAAGAAAAAAGAAAATGGACATAATGTCCCCTAGGCTCATCTATGTTGTCTTGATTAATAGAATTTCAGTCTTTGTAATGGCTGAATAGTGTCTAATTGTACGTAGTTGTGTCATCTTACGTATTTACACATCTGTTGATGGACATTGAAGTTGATTCCATATCATGGCTATTGTGAATAGTGCTGGAGATGCAAATATGTCTAACATCTTAATTTCCTTTCCTTTAAATATGTAGCTAGTTGTGGCATTACTGGATGATAATGGCAATTTTATTGGTAGTGTTTTGAAGAGCCTCCACACTGTTTGTTTTAATGGCTATCCTATTGTACATTCCCACCAGCAGTGTCTAGGAGTTCCCTTTTTTGCGTGTGGGATGTGTGTATCTAAGCTTTAGTAAATGTTGCTAAGTTGTCCCCCAGAAATTGATGTAACAGTTTACATTTCTACAATATAGGGGGATAATTTCCCACACACTCAAAGATCTCTTAATTTCAAGTGTCACTGTTTCTCGCTATGTAGGAAGCTCTGTCGTACAATAGTTTAACTTTACAGATCAGCAAGGGTGTGTGTGTGTGTGTGTGTATGTATGTATGTATGTGTGTGTGAGAGAGAGAGAGAGAATATTGAAGGCACCACTACTAATACTAGGTCATTAGAAGAGTCATGATGCATTTTTGCGTAGAAAATATAGGAAAATAGTCATGACTTTCCTGATCTAATATTTCACACCTTGGATTTTGCCAGTAGAGATCTTACCTGAGAGCTTTTTTTTTTTTTTTTTTTTTTTTTTTACTTTCTCTTCACCCTTTTTTGTCTTGGGCAGGTTGAAGGCATTCAAGGTGGCCCTCTTGGATGTGTTCCGGGAAGCTCATGCACAGTCGGTGGGCATGAATCGCCTTACAGAATCCATCAACCAGGACAGAGAAGAGCCCTTCTCATCAGTGGAGATCCAGGCTGCACTGAGCAAGATGCAGGATGACAACCAGGTTATGGTGTCTGAGGGCATCATCTTCCTCATCTGAGGAGGCCTCTCTGAACTTGGACTTGTGCTTAGAGAATTTCCTTCCATATCCCAGGTTCCTTCCCCCACCTGAGTTTTTACCTTTGTTCTTTGAATAACAGTGTTTTAATTGAACTGAAGCTGAGAGATACTAGTGATGAAGCTAAATCAGGACTTGGAATCTTTGCGAATGAGTAATGGAAACTGCCGTGGGTCAGGAAAAGAAGATAGGGAAGGACTAGGACCGTGAAACATCATTGAGAAAGCACTGGGTCATGCACCCCACTTCCCATCCCCAAACAAACCCAGACATTAACTTCCTGGATATACCATGACTGCTGAGTACTTTTGTGGACACAGCTGGTTTCTGTTCATTCTTTGTTGTCTGTTTCCCTCTTCTCCAGAGCACTTTAGTCGGGCTTTGGGTGGTTCAGGGTAGAGAAAAACTGAGACAAGTCATAAAGGTCAAGAAAGCTTTCTTTATAGTAGCACTAGTTAAAAGTAACTTGTGTCTTTGACCTAGATATCTAGGATATTGAATAAACGTGACCATTTTGTACACCTGGTGTAATACTCTTGATTTTTAGCTGTTTTGTTTTCCTTAAGAGCTCTGCCCTGCAGGATTTCTTGCTACCACATTTCCACCAAGCCACCACAAGGTGGCAGCAGCCAGCTGTGGTCTCTCCTTGGGGGTCATGCCTTCTCTTTAACTAGCTTTCTTCTTCAATAACATTGGCATGTATCGCTCAAAATTGATACTGCAAACCAAAGCCTGCTGATATGAAATAGCACAATGGCCATTGGAGGCCAGTGAGTGAAAGTCCAAAAGAAGAATTGGCCCTCTGCTTGGCCTTTCAGAGCCTGAATCAAAGCCCCATCAAAGTATTACATGTTATGTCAGACACCTCAAAGTCATGTGCGTTCTTGTCCATTAGGATATACTTTTGAAATTACCTAATTGTTTGGCCTTTGAGATTTGTTAGCCTATTTATACAGAACTTTAGGGGTCTGGAGTGGGCAGGGCAGGGCAGGACTTCTCTCCTGCTGTTTTATGGTTTGAATTACTTTCAAAGAACTTTTAAGGTTACATAAAAGAAGAAAAAAGTGACTTTATGGAGAGCCTGGATCATGTTAGTTGGAAACTGCTTTGGTGACAGATGGGCCTCTGAGAAGTTGTGTATTTCTCACCCAGAAGATTGTTCAGATATTTCTCCCTTTTTGTATGTGGAAAGGAGCCTGTTATCCTTAAGCCACAAAGCAGAGTTTTTCTTTTTTTGTGACAAAGGAATTTTTTTTTTGGGTGGGGGGAGGGTTTTGCTATAGGGTACGCATGCTCGCCAAAGAGACAGAAAAAGAGAAATCGTGGCTGCACCGCAATCCCTTCTCCGTTCTCCTCTCAGGATTCTGAGCCCGCACACAAATGCGCCCGACATGAGTTTAAGCCACAGGGTCCAGGACTTGAACCACAGTTGACTACATGGGAGTCTAGCAACTTAGCCATTATGCCATCTGCTGGTCCCAACAAAGGAATTTTTAAAAGTTTATCTAGTTATTTCTTGAGAGAACGAAAGAGGCTGAGATCCCCCTTCAAGGTCTTAGCAGATCATTCTCTGCCCATCCCCACCTCTGGGCAGCAAAGATCATGGAATACCTTTGCCTGAAATGTTTGGGTCAGCCTGGGATTTGAAAGTCTGGGCCTTCTCATATGCCTGCAGTAAGGTGCAGTGGCACCCTACTTGCCTGTGCCACTGCAGCTGGGCTCTTATAAGAAAGCACAGGCAGGAGCCAGCAGATGGCATAGAGGTTACATTGCTGGACTCTCACATGGCCAACCGTATAGTTTGAGCCCCAGACCCCACGGCTTGAGACTTATACCAGGTGTGTGTGTGTGCATGCCCAAATCCTAGAAGGAGAATGGAGGAGAAGGAATTGCGGTGTGGCCGTCCCCCTTGGGGGGGGCGATTTCTCACCTTCCCTCTCACTATCTCTATCTCTCTCTCTCCAGTGAGTTCCTGTGCTCTAAGGGAAGTTTCATCTTTATCTCCCCACCCCCCTGCCACACACACACAGTTGTGAGATCTAGTGGAACAGAAATAACCTAGAGCTCCAAAGGAGAGTGTGCCAGTACTAGAAGGAGGAATTTGACAGTAACTGAGCACTGGCAATGAGTCAAAAGTTGTGTTGGGTACAGCCATAGGTTAAAAAATAATGGGACTTCCTATTCTGGAGGCCTATAGGCTAGGGAGGTACATGTCTAATGTGTTAGTGAAATTTTTAAAAATATAAAGGAAAGTTATATGCCAAATAAATGTGTACAATGAGCTAAAGGAATTGCAGGGAGGAATTGAAGTCAGGAGAAGATTGGGAGCTACAGGTGAAGTACTGCTAAAAAGTAAAGGTAGAGGGATTTTTGGTTTTTTGTTTTGTTTATCTTTTGCTATAGGGCATGTGCACTAGCCAGACAGAGAGACAGAAAGTGATAAATCACCCCCCGGGGGGATGGCCACGCCATAATCCCTTTTCCTTTCTCCTCTTGGGATCTTGGGCACGCATGCACATGCACCCGGCATGAGTTTAAGCCACCGGGTCCGGGACTCGAACTGCAGTTGACTACATGGGAGTTCAGCGACATAGCCATTACACCAACTGCTGGTCCCAAGGTAGAGGTTTTTAGGAGTCTCCTCAGTGATCTGTTCCAGAAAGGCCAAATGTTTTGTCAGTAGGACTCTTACTTTATCCCTTATCCCTGGGGAAATAGAGGGATAGAGCATCAGAGCAGCTGCACCTAGCATTTTGGGAATAGTTGTAATACCAGGTTCTGACCATTTCAGCTCTTTTCATGCTGGCCAAAATAATGAAAGACAGGACACTGGGTTTTAAGCAACCATAGTAGATGTTAACTGTGTGAAAATGACATGCTCTTAGGATTTCAGTCTTTTTTTTTTTTTTACCAGCGGGCACATGTGCTCACCAGAAGCGGGCGCACGCACTGCAGTACTTTCTCCATTTCTCCATTCTTTCAGGACTCTGGGTGTGGGCACACGTACACACACGTGTACTCTGTTTTTCAAGCTTCTGGGGCTGGGACACAGGTCACGTAGTCAGCCATGTAGGATCTAGCTCCCTTAACCACTGGGCTATGGGGCCAACCCAGGAGCGCTAGGTTGAATTTTTTAAAATGTATATGTGCTGTTTTGCATCTTATGGTGACATAAGAGAGTTGGTAAGCATTTAAAGCATATATTCTTTGATATCGCAGAGAAGCCCCCTATGGGATCTCCTGCAGGAAACTATGAGACTGCTGAGGCAGGGGCTAACATCTATAGGCCAGCCACCCTGCAGGACATTGCTGTTGTCACATTGTAGAGAATCCAATGATAAATCAGATTCATTAAAAAAAAATTACTGGATTACTGGGCCGGGTGGTGGCTTAGTGGTTATGATGGGTAGATCCCATATGGTCTATTGGGCAGTTTGAGTCCTGGACCTGGAAGCTTGAAACACACTGGGTGCAGGTGTGTATGTGCCCAAAATCTTGAAAAGAGGGAGAAATGAATAAGGGATTGTGACATGACCATCCTCCATGGGGGTGCTTTATCTCTTTCTCTCCCACAAGCACTCATATCCTCTGGCAAGTTGAAAAGAAAAGAAAAAGAAATAATAATCTATATGCTTCATTCCAAAAGTGTTTACATTTAAGTTTGCCATCTGAAATTAAATAATTTGTGGAGCTTAAACAAGTAAATTCATGTATCCTGAAAAGTTGTGATACCTTCTTCAACTTCCCTAAATAAATGAAGTATCAACCAGAAAGGATAGTTTTCAAAAAAGACAATTTGGGGGAACCAGCAGTTAGCGTAATGGCTATGTCGCTTGACTCCCACGTAGTCGACCATGGTTCGCGTCATGGACCCGGTGGATTAAAACTCACGCCGGGTGCGTGTGCGTGCGTGCCCAAGATCCCGAGAGGAGAATGGAGGAGAAGGGATTGTGGCGTGACCATCTCCCCTGGGGGGTGATTTCTCGCTTTCTCTCTCTATGTCTCTCTCTGTCTGTCTGGCGAGTGCACGTGCCCTATAGCGAAAACCTCTACAAAAAAAAAAAAGACAATTTGGTTAAGTGCTGATAGGATTGAGTCTCTCTGTCACTTTCCAGGAAACTTCAGGTAAGTTTTGAGCTGCTCATCATTTCAGCTGTAAAATGGAGATTTTTGCTGCCTGGTGTAGGGTGCTGTGAACCCTAATTGGGAGATCAGGTGGCAGGCTCCTGCCTGGATGGACTAGCCTTATGATATTGGTATTAGTACAAGTGCTGCACTGAAACAAGATGCTTTGCTATAATAAGTATTTTTAAAAAACATCCTTTTATAAAAACATATAAAATTATTTCACCCTTATTTTGTTCCTGAACTCTCTTCCCTTTCCTGCCCTTCCATTCCTTGATGGTTCCTATTTTCAAGCCAATGTGGCTCTGACCCAAGCACTTCCTCAAGGGGAACCCCTTACTACACTCGCTTTAAGACATTAAGGCATAGGATCCTACGTAGCCAACCCTGCTCTTTGAAAGTCACACTGGGGAAATAGCAGGTGGCATGGTGGTTAAGGTGCTGGACTCTCACATGGTCACCTGCTGGTGGCTTAAAAATTAGGCTGGGCTTTTGTGTATGGGTGTACCCAAAATCCCAGGAGGAGAATGGAGGAAAAGGGATTGCATGGTGACCATCCCCCTGGGGGGAGGGGGTGATTTCTCACTTTCCCTATATCAGAAACTAAAAAACAAAAAAGCCGGCTCTTCATCTGTCTGTGGGGAACACTGTTAGCAACCCTGAGGTATGGTCATTAGGAAAACATGGAGAAGAAAGGCCTGCAGAAAACAGATTTTGCTGGTTATCTCCTGTCTTCTGAGAACATTGCAGACACCAGTTGTCCTAATGATTCCAGAAGACTTCTTGTGAGATGAAGTCTAACAGTTTGGCTGGTGGAGTAAAACAGATTCAAGAGTCACCTATGTGCTGGTGCCTCCGTCGATACGGTTAACAATTTATAGTATCTCTCAGAGGAGCTAAAAGATTTTGAATGTTCCCAACACAATATAATGACAAATGACTGAGACGATGGATATGTGACTATAATTATCTTGATTTTAATCAGTACACATTGTATTCTTGTACTAAAAAATAGGTGCCTCACAAATACGGGCATATATTAAATATCGGTGAAAAAGAAGAGCTCCGTAAGGTTTTCCCCTTCCTCCGGAGCCAGGTAGCACCATTTGTGCTTTAGCGAAACCTAAATGGATAGGGAAGTGGAGAGGTGGAGCCTTCTGGAGTTGTTGCATAGAAATCTCACTAGGAAGCCAAAAGGTTGGCAGTGGGAAATAAGCCCTGCAATGGCAGGGAAGCAACAGGCACTGATTTGCATTCTGAGTTCCTTTTGTGACGCAGTGTGATGAGTTCTTTGCTAAGCTATGCTAGCCACTTCCTTGGAGGGAAGTGCATGGTTTTCTTATCTGGAAAAGGAGGTGGTTAAACTAGATCTCTGAGGTGCCTTCTGGTAAAGCCT